CATGGCAATGATACGATATACGATAGAATGAATGTAAAACCAATGTTCTCCCATGTAAACTATCACATAATTCACAATAAAACATTAAAAAAAAAAAAAAAAAAAGATGAGGATGAACGTGAGGCCAGAGAAAATGTGAAGAGAGAGGTAATAGCCCCAGAGTTCATTGGGAAATTGACTTTACCAAAATCAAACCTGGTATGTATGGATAATAAATACCTTTTAGTATTCATAGATACTTTCTCAGGCTGGGTCGAAGCCTACCCCGCAAAAAGAGAAACTGCCGCTGTAGTAGTAAAAAACTGCTTGAAGAAATCGTTCCCAGGTACGGACTACCGATCCTCTTAGGGTCAGATAATGGGCCTGCTTTCATCTCTCAGGTAACCCAAAAAGTAGTACAGACTTTGGGGACAAATTGGAAATTACATTGTGCATATCATCCCCCAAGCTCTGGTCAGGTAGAAAGGATGAATCGGACACTTAAAGAGACATTAGCTAAATTAACCCTAGAGACTGGCGGAGATTGGGTAACCCTCCTTCCTTTTGCTATACATGTTGTTGTTGTTGTTAAGTGCCGTCGAGTCAGTTTCGACCCATAGAGACCCTGTACAGGGTTTCCGAGGGTGTAAATCTTTACAGGAGTAGAAAGCCTCATCTTTCTCCCGTGGAGCGGCTGATAGTTTCAAACCGCTGACCTTAAGGTTCGCAGTCCGATTCGTAACCACTACGCTACCAGAGCTCCTTACATAGGACCAGAAATATACTCGCCACATTTAACGTCCTAAACAGCTCCCACCCAGAACTCACCAAAAACTGCTGGTTGTGCCTTGAAGCAAAGCTTCCATACTACGAGGGTATCGCTATAACTAGCAATTTTAGCGAGACTTCTGAACAGAGTAAGTGTAGATGGAAAGAAGGGGTGGGAAAGAAGCTGACGCTAGAACAGATCTCAGGAAGAGGAACCTGCATTGGAAAAATCCCCCGAAATTATCTGCACTTATGTAATAATACCATTCAGATATCCACAAGCAGCAATGACAGTAATACATATTATAAGCCTGGAAAAGATGCTTGGTGGGCATACTGGGCATGCAATACTGGCATAACTGCCTGTGCCCATAAGACTATACTTAACCAAGTTGAAGAAACCAATTTGGGCCCATAATTTGGCCCAGGAGGTACTCACTCAAGGGGGGAATGAAGGACCAAAAGACCCCAACCAGAAAAATTGCTTTATGAGTTTCCTTTCCCTAAAGAAATTTCTTCCAACATACCTGAACCCACTCTAACCGCCAAACTGGCACCAGTAACCGTTAGAACCCTCCCTAACCGCCAAACTTCTGACACCAGCAACCTTCCCCAGATAAGAGCCAATCAGCAGCAACCTTCCCCAGATAAGAGCCAATCAGCTTGAAAGTTGAATGGTAAACTTCCCCTGACTGCCTATAAAAAGGCCTGTGTGCCTGCTTTGGAGGCCTCCATCAATTCAGATGGTAGACCCATTGCATGCTGTGTTGAGATCAATAAACGCTTCTGCTGAGTGCATACACTAGGAGAGTTGAGAGTCCTTCGTGGGGGACACGAAATCGGGCACCACAGACATCACTTAACAAAAACAACAACATAGGGTTTTCAAGGAGCAGCTGGTGGGTTTGAATCATCAACCATTTGGTTAGCAGTCCAGTGTTTATCCTACAGCAACACAGCAGGTCTCCTGTTCAAACATAATGGATTCCTATAAAAATGATACAGAAGCTGAGTGCAGAGATCACAGGTCAAAGGGACACTCTGTGATGAAAAAAAGAAAAAATGCATGAGTTACAGTGTATTCAAACTCACTTTTGAAACTCCTTCGAAGGCTGTATGGCACCAACTCATTTCTCTGAAAGTTAACACATAAAGGCATAAAAGGAAAGAATCAAATGCATTTTCCTGTGACCTCTATTTAAGGATAACCAAATAACTTCTGAAGAAAAGTGCTCTGCTATTAGCCAATAATAGACTGTCAATTAGAACCCACCTAGACGCTCCTAGGAAGAGAGAGATCTGTTCTGTTTATTGCTTGAAAGACCTGTGGACAGTTCTGCTCTGCTGGCGTGTGGTGACTTGGTGTCAACTAACAGCAAGCTAAGGAATGTAGATGGATCGGGTTTGTTTAAATCACCACTGTTGTCCAGTGGGTTCCAAATTCACAGTTACCTTGGACAGGGTTTCTGAGAACAGCTGGGGGGGTGTCAACTACTGACCTTGAGGTTAGCAGAGTTAGCAGTCAGTGCTTATCATACAGCACCATATGAGGGCTTCATGTTGCTGTTGTTGTTAAGTGCCTTCGACTTTGTTTTGACTGTTTGAACCGCTGACCTAGAAGTTAGCACAGTTAACAGTCCTGTACATGTTGTTGTTGTTAAGTGCCCTTGAGTTGGTTTTGACTCATTGTTGTTAAGTTCCGTGGAGTCGGTTCCGACCCATAGCGATCCTTGACAGGGTTTCCAAGGCTGTAAATCTTTACGGGAGCTGAAAGCCTCATCTTTCTCCCGTGGAGCAGCTGGTAGTTTTGAACTGCTAACCTTGCGGTTCGCTGCCCGATTCGTAACCACTGCGCTACCAGAGGCCCTAAAGACTACTTAGGCAGGTGATAATGGAGGGGGGAAAAAAAAAAGTTGATTGAGAACTAGTATTTCATTAAAGGTTAC